CCCAGGGGGGATGGTCACGCGGCAATCCCTTCTCCTCCATTCTCTTCTCGGGATCTTGGGCACGCATGCACACATGCCTGGCGTGAGTTTTAAGTCACCGGGTCCGGGACACGAACTGCGGTCGACTATGTGGGAGTCCAGCGACATAGCCACTACACTAACTGCTGGTTCGGTTCCCATGAATATGTTATCTTACATGACAAAGGATATTTTGCAGATATTATTTAGTTAACCTGGTGATGAGGAGAGCATCCTGAATTAGCCAGGTGGGCCCAATATCATCCAAGGACCTTTATAAAAGAGATGCAGGAGGGTCAGTGTCAGAGAAGATATGATCAAAGTAGAGGTCACGGATGCAGGTAGTAACCAGAGAATGGCATGACCTCTAGAAGCTGGAAAAGGCGATCCTACCACCTCCTTGATCTTAGCTCAATGCAACCTATGTTGCCTTCTGATCTTCAAAATGAAAGACAGTATATGTGTATTAAACCCTACCTTCATGGTCAATTGTAATAGCAGCCATAGAAAACTAATATACAGCTCCTGCTTATCTGGTCATGGTTGTTCTTCCTCCTCCCTGCCAGAGATGAAGGTGCTTCCATATAGCTAGTGTTTATTCCATGTTACGTTCTGAGCATTGTGCTAAAGGCCGGTTAGTTATGTCACTTAATTTTTTTGACTAATCCTATGAAGCGGATACTGTTGTTACCTCCATTTCACAGTAAGAAACTGAGGAATGCCACATGTGTAGCCAGAGCCAGTAGATACGCCCTGGGACTCTGTGGTCTGATTTCAGTAGCATCTTGACCACCGGTGCCACAGTGATAGTGACTACATAGGCCCAGGGTAGGGGTGGATTGATCATTAAAAAGCATAACTGGTACCTGGCCAGTAGGTGGCATGGCAGTTATGGTGGCTGGATCCCACATAGCTGTGCAGGTCAAGTCTCAGATCTGATAGCTTGAAAAACATGCCCAGCACCTGTGCATGTATGCCCAAATCCCAAGGAGAATGAAGGAGAAGGGATTTCAGTATAGTCATCCCCCCCAGAGGGGGCAGATTTCTGATTTCATTGGTCTGTCTGTCTCTGTCTTACTGCTGTCTTTCTCCAAAAAGTGTACTTGCCCTATAACAAAACTTAAATGGTACCAGTTATTTATTGATTTATTTTTGGAGGTTGTTTTTTTTTTTTGTTTGTTTGTTTGTTTGTTTGTTTTTTTTTGCTATAGAATGTATGTGCTTGCCAGAAATACAGAGACAGAGAGACAGAAAATGAAAAATCACCCCCCAGGGGGGATGACCACACCACAATCCCTTCTCTCCATTCTCCTTTCAGGATTTTGGGCACACATGCACATGCATCCGGCATGAGTTCAAGCCACCAGGTCTAGGACTTGAACAGCGGTCAACTACATGGGAGTCCAGAGACATAGCTATTATGCTAACTGCTGGTCCCTATTTATTTATCTTTTTAATCAGACATTGACTGCCGACATCATCCCTGTCCCAAGAGCTTTATATATGGTACCCTCAGTTTATTGATAGCAAGACTGCCTTTTTACAGGAGGTGTTATCGCCCTCATTTTATGTATAAAGAAATTCAGAAAAGGTATACAGCTCACCCATTGTAGGTCTTTCTTGGGCCAACCTGGATACACATCCAGATCTGTCTATCCAAAGTCCATGCTGACTCCAAAGTTCTTAATCACACACAATGCCACACAACCAAAGCCAACTGATTTCTGTCTTCATCAGCTTTATTGTCAGTTCATCATGATGCATCAATTCTGCACAGAAATCCATGAGACCTTTCAGGTCTTATATTTACACTTCACAAAAAGTAATCTGTGCACATCATCTTGGATGAAAGTCTCTGTCACTCAGTAATAGACATGGAATGAGGCATAGCCACACATCTGAGTTAGAGCTGATGGAGACCACTGTCACTGAAGGATGAGACAAGACATAGCTAGACTTTGGACTGATCAGTGATGGCCCTTGAAATTGCCTTGTGCCACATTCTGACCCCTTAGCAAATTTGCCAGAGAACAATACTGTAGCATATTATTTTCTCCATAAAGTGCCTTAAGTTATATCTAAAATTTTAAATCTTTCTGATAAATTGGTAAAGATAGGACTCTAATTTAGATAGCTACTTTCTCTTTCTCACTCTCTGTTTCTTTAATTGCCAGAAAGTACAAGTACGCAATAGAGAGAAAGAAAGCCAGCCTCCTCCTTTGGGGCATGGTCACACCATAATCCCTTTTTTCATTTCTCCTTCACATCAGTATTTTGGGCACATGTGTGCCTGGTGTGTTCCTCAAGCCACTAGGGCCAGGATTTGAACCAGGGATAACTTTGTGGGATGCACAACACTTAACCACTGTGCCACAGAACTAGCCCATGAGAGCTACTTTTATTAATCTTGTTTTTTCTCATCACCAGCACTAGCAATTGAGAACAATTTTTTGTAACCTTTTGAAAAATATTTCCCTAGAATATCTTCATTGTGAGGGGAAAATATTTCCATTGTGCTGTCTCAGACTGTGGAAACCAAACGTCTGGCTGGGCTTACTTGCTGACTCCCACCCTCACATTCTCCCTGTGTTCGATTTACATTCCAGCATTAGCAACCTAACGAAGGTTTGGGACCTTCAAGGTTGTTAGTGCTGAGAGCCTTCAGATTAATGTTGTCTTCAGTCTGCCTTGGCCCCAGGCAAACATTGCAATCCTGCTTTTCCCTCCAGAGCACTGAACCCCAGCCCTTCTTTAGATAGGCAGGGCAGCCTCAGTAGATGAGGAAACTCAGGCTGAGTGACTCTGTAGATGTGTGGAGACAGGACTAGATCCCATGTTCTTAAATTTTTCATCACTGTTCTGTACAATTGGACCTGATGATATTTTTAACTATCTTTATGGCAAATGCTCATGGAGACATGTGGAGGATCTTACATACTGTATCTCACAATAATATCACAAAACGATCCATGGTCCACAGAAACCCTAAACATTCCTGTTTTGTTTTAGGATCCCATCTTGCTTTCATAATATTCTTGCTTCAGCCTCTCAGCTGGGACTTTAGGTATGCACCACCATGCCCAGCTATTTTTTAGATGGGGGTCTCTCTGTATTGCCCAGGACAGCCTTGAACTTGTGATCCTTAGCCTCCACCAATCACTGGGTTTACAGGTATATGTTACCTTACTGAGCTTTAGATTGGACCAAGAATCAAATTCAGGCCTACCATGTGGTCTTAACCTGTAGTTCGCAGTGTCTTTAGCTGCACATGCAAGCCAGCTGGACCCTACAACTGTTTTAAGTACAGAATCTGAGTCATCCATTGTCTTTCCAATAATGGTCGATTAAGAAGCTGCATGAACAATGCAATGAATTATCAGGAAAGTCATGACACATTTTTACATAGAAAAATATGTCATGACTTTACGTTCAACCTAGTAGCATTTCAGCCTTTCTTAACTCTAGTGATGTTGGGAAAGCTACTGATAAGATTTAATCTTCCGCTGGGTGTAGACTCAGAGCTTGCCTTGTTTGATTATAATTGAGTCTAAGAAAAACAACTGCAGGGAAGAATTTTATAGCTAATAAACTAAATAATAATGAACTCAGAATCTAAATGGACAGGATGGAAGAAATAAAGAAAATATACAAGGTTTTATCATGGCTTGGAAAATAGTGAATTCACTATTGGCTAGCATAATATGTGAGTAGATGATATTACATTTTACAGTCGAGTTGTATATTCCGTTTTATCCTTTCATATACTAAAACTATTATAGTAATATTATCTCCTTTTGCATAGGATTACGGGACAACTACTACAGTACAAATGATCAAATTTCCCTTAAAAATCATCAGTCTGATGTTACAGAGAAGAAGTCTGACTTCACCAAGGTAACATACATATCCGACTTCTACAGTGGTCAGCAAAATGCACCCAACTAAAAAACATAATCATTGGCCTACTTACGATATGATGACATTTTATTTAGTTTTGTCAAAAGTTAAATTATTGCAGTGGAAAATCTAAGGCAAGTGACTAATAGTTTTTTACATGAAAATATTCACTTTATGTTTATAATCTTCACTGACAATTTATAGTTTTATAGTATTATCAGTGAATATAATGTTCAATCTCAGTTTTAAACCAAAAATAATCTGTTGGGGAGAGCACACAGAAGGGAAAACACCTATGCCATGTATCATTTTGAAGGTAGGAAAGAGATACTTTGAAATCTAACTAGTTAGTGTAGATCATTATAACTATAAATAGTGTCGGTGGTTTGAAACCAGGAATAAACTTAATGGTCATACTATGAAGTTAAATGTTTCAGATCCTAAGGAATAAAGAAATCAGTACACAGAGGTTCATATTGCCAATTTATCATATACTAGGCTTTGTCAAATCCACTGACTCATTTAATCCTTTCCACAGTTCCAGGAGGTAGGTGATATTATTGTACCCATTTTGCTGATGAAAAAAATTAAAACATTACTAGATGACTTGTGCCAAATTTCATAGCTTATGTAAACTGATTTTGAAGCTTCTGTAAACTGATTTTGAAGCTTCTGTTCTTAACTTGCTCTAAAAGACTGTCATAGAGGAAGACTTAGTTCAGTTAACAGAACTTAAAGTATGGATTTTCTCCCTTTACGAAATTGTCCAGAGTGTTAAACTTTACAAGGCATGGGCCAGCCAGTGGCATGTTGGTTAAGGTACCTGGATCCCACTTGGCCATCTATATGGTTTGAGTCCTGGACCACGCAGCCTGAGGATCATCATGTACACAAATGCCCAAAATTCTGAGAGGAGAATGAAGGAGAAGGTATTGAAGCATGGCTATCCCCCTCAGGAAGTGGTTTAACACACCTCACTACCCCTGCTGTCTCTTCAGTGTGCATGCATACCCTATAGAAAATGAAAAGAAATAAAAGTTTACAAGGCATCAGCTATCTGTCACAAATGGATATTCTGTTGCTATTTATTTATTTTTTTATTCTGAGAGAGGAATTATAAGAATCAATCTTAAAGTAACAAAGGTATCTGTTAAACATTTTGGTGGCAAAATTATTTTTATCTTGGATATTGATTTAGCTCTGCATTTAATAAAGCTCAATATTTTCCTCAGAGATCCCAGTCCTGAAGTCTCATGAAGTAGAAAAAGGATACTATTTGGGTTCTGAGATTTAGTCATCAATATTTAAATTCCTCTCATTATGGAAGCATCAATCTCACTGTCTCAAGACATAAAGTTGTGTAGCTATAATTAACATTCTCTTGAGAGCAGTAACAGGAACCCCAGGTTGCAGGACAAAAATGAGTAGGTAGAGTAGTGGATCACTGGAGCCATTACTAAGAGGAGATACTGGTGGAAGGGGGAGATAAGATTGAGTTAGGAAGGAGAATGGGGAGGATATTGTGGAGGCCCATTGCTACTATTTTTCTTAGTTGTTATTATATTAAAATGACAATAATTGTACATATTTATGGGGTGGATACAGTATGATATTTTGATATAAAAATTCTGCACAGTGAAGGAAATAATAGGGTAGTGAGAAAACCAATAGAATGGGAGAAAATATTTGAAAACTATCCAATTCCATATACAAGGAATTCAAAAAACTTAACAGCAATAAACCAACAAACCCCCAATAATTAAGTTTAAAATGGGCAAAAGATCTTAACAGGAATTTCTCCAAGAAGATAAATAACCAAGTATACTTTTTAATACTTTTTTTAAAAAATCATTTGTTTTAACTTTATTTATTATTATTATTGTATTTTAATTTGATCAAAGGGAGAGGAAAAGTGAGAAAGCTAGCCACCAGGTCTAGGACTTGAACCACAGTTGGATATATGGGAGTCCAGTGCCTTAACCATCATGCCACCAGCTGGCCCTGTTTTTAAGTACTTTTTATAAGAAAGATACCAGCTGATGATTTTTTCCCATCTGTTTTTCATGTTGAGCTGTCAAAATTTGTCATTTTCCTATTGATAATAAAAATTAATTGGAATCAAGTTATTAATGATATAGATCTTTAGGGCCAAGTTGCTGGATGTCTGTAATACACACATCACATACTCACACACTCATATTTGATCGTTATATATGTCAGCATTAAATGACGGCTAGAAATCATATCCTTAGAATTATCTGGATTATCTAATTGATCAGTAGTATGACTTTCAAATTTCCCTCCTAACTTTGAGCTTTTAAAGCTTGTCCCTGTGTATGTTTATAAGGCTGCTGTAAGATGATGAAACACACCAGAGGATGCCCTGCCTTTGTAACTGCCATAAATTTCCACCTCTCCTCCAGAGCCTGCATAAGATTGATCACTTTTCCTTCCAAAACGCATCAAAGCTGTAGCAATGATATGAAGGCACCTCTTCTGCTGAGTGATTATTTATAAGGAATGAAATATGGGACAGAGTTAAAGAAAAAAAAGAAAAGAAAAAGGTTAAGTTCTCCTGATAATAAAAGTAATGGTAATCCCACGTAGAAATAGAAAAATACAGGAAGATACAAATAAGAAAATTTTATATATATATAAGGGGTCTAAATATTTATATGTATGAGGAGTCTTCACAAAGCTTATAGAAAAAAAAGAATTAAAGTTTGTCTTTTAGTGCAAAAATTTTGAAATCTATGCCCAGTTTTTTTCATAATATGCATTTTCTATGAATTTGTGAATAATTTTCTTACATCTTTTCCCATACTTTTTTGTTTTGCATAAGTGTAAAAGTATAAAGCATATCAGCTTTTACAGGTCTTTTATTATGTCCTATTTGACCACAAGAAATTTCCCATGTCATTTAAATTATTTGTATTTTTTATTAAGTTCTATAGAATATAAGATGCAGTTGTGAGTACAATGGTTTACTTACCTGGTTCCTCTTTTAAAAAAACATTGATTCTTTATCATTGCCAGGGGTTTTGGGGAGAAAGGAATGGAGAGTTATAGTTTAATGGGTATAGAGTTAGAGTTTTACAAGATGAAAGAGTTCTAAAATGGATGATGGTGACGGTTGTATAACATTATGGATATATTTCATACCATGAAACTGTACACTTAAAAACGATTAAGATGGTAAATTTTTTTGTTTTATATATTTTACCACAATAAAAAATTGAAGGAAAAAAATTGATTCTTGCTGGCTTTTCACTGCTATATATTACAAAACGTTAAATCCTTTGGTTTTTAGTACCGTGTGGGAAATCTAAAGTTTCACAATAGAGGATGGGAAAAGCTCCGATTTTTTCATTTGTCTTAACATAGTCTTTCTTCGTTGCCACATACCAGAGTGAACTTGTAAGTCTGAAGACATTTTACATTCGGGATGTAATGTCAATAGGTTGACAGATTACTTCATGATGGTGATACCAGATCAATTGAATGGAGCCTGGCAGGTTTGCAGTGAAGGTGGAAGTGGCTGTAGAGTGTGTCTATGTGGATAGGAATCTAAATAATCCATCTGGCAAATATACTTGTAAACTACAGAGCAGCAATGGAGAAGGAAAGAATTATCTCATGGAGAATAACACAGATTTCAAAGGTACAGGTAGGATTAGATGCTTATCCTTTGGAGAAATAAATTGCTACAGGAATGGAGACATCTTCAGTCTAGGGACTCGGGATCTGATTTCTCTGATCATCTATGACTTATCTTTTTCTTACTTCAATTTATGAAATGATGTCCTTCTTAGTAAAATGCTTAAAGCATAAATATAACGTCAAAAACAATCAATAAAAGGCATAAAACTGTAAGTGCAGTTATCAGCACTACAAAATCATGTTTGAAACATTGAAAAGAAATCGATATCTTAAAGCAGCACCAATGAGGAAGAAAAAAGTAAAAATATGTTGTGTGAGGATGGTCAGGAAACGGATGGTTTAAATACCAAAGCAAGATACAAAACCCAGCTACTCATCAGATCTCTCTCTGACCTTGAACGTTCTACTTCAAAAACAAGATTTTCTTCTTCCCTTCAGATAAAATCTTATATCAGTTCATTGTACTTTAGATGAAGGAAATATCTTTGTAAAGCCACGTTTAGTTAACCCTGCATAAAAAGCAGATGAACTGTCACCCTGAAATAACTTAATCTGGAAAAATAAAATGTGATCACTTTGTAAAGAAAGTTTGCCAAGTTTTAAAAATAGTAAGAAGATTTAGGAACATCAAATAAACCTCCTTCTTAACTTTCTTAGTTTCTCAGACCCAGAAGAAGGATTAGGCAAAAAAGTGATGTATTGTACTCTGTTATTGACTGAATTGTATGTACTCTAAAATTCATGTTGCACTTCTAACTCCAGTACCTCAGAATATAACTATGTTCAGAGATGGTGGCTTTAAAGAGGTTACTAAGGTCAGGTGACTTCATTAGGGCAAACCCTAATCCCATAGAACTGGAGTCCTTATAAGAAGAGGAGATTAGGACACAAACACAGGACAGAGGGAAGGCCCTGTAAAGACACAGGGAGAAGATGACCATTTACAAGCCAAGGAGACCAGCCTCAGAATAAATCCAGCCCTTCAAACACTTTGATATCGAATTTCCAGGTCCTAAATGTGAGAGAGTAAATATCTGTTGTTAAGCCACCCAGACTGTGGAATTTCATTACGGCAGCCTTAGCAAATGAATAAATATACATATACATATACACATACACATACACATATACACATATACATATATATATATATGTTCATGAGAGTGGACATCATCTTTGATTATTTAATAGGTTTCAGTGAGAATATAGGATTTGATAAATAGAACTTCCCACTGAAGTATAATATGTATATTGAAGAGCAAAGAGCTCATTTTCTTTTTCCTTTCTCTCTGTTGTTTGGGCTTTCATCAAAGTTGAATTTAAACAGAGGAGAAAAT